ACTTCTAAGATGACCAAGCTATCGGTTACAACATAATGCTCCACTCCTTAAGTGGTCTCTCTCAGTGGGAGACTGTGTACCCTCCTCCGAGCCTTCAAGTTAGCCTACTGCTGTACTACCGCAGGGTATTTGTAGTGAAGTTATGTACTACTTTGTAGCAGGCAGCTGGACACATGGGGACAACCAGTGGTGAGACAGGACTATATAAACAGTCTGTCAATCTGGAGATCAATAGATTGTTTGCAGGCAGGAGTGATCTACCACAGGGCACAGCCACGGCACAAGGCATGCTGTCTGCAAATATGTCTGTCATCTCTTAAGGCATCTGTTGTGTGCTTTGTATCGCTTGTGCCAAAATAAATGCTCAGTCCACTCTATGATTTGTACACAGCAAGGTCAAAATCTTTGACTGAGTGAGATACAGATGTAGGATCTTAATTTGATCACTATTTTGTTTCTAAGAATTAAATGCAAACTTGTAGTGTATTTGTCATTTCCACGTAGACATGTTTGACTTGATTTGCCCCAACAAAAAATGTATCAACCCCTACAAAAATGTCCATAAATTATAATCCACACAATAATTCACATTTCCTGTTGATGCAGGATTGTTTTCCTGCTGTAGCAAACTGGCTCAAATGAGGATCCTACACCTGTATTCACAACACAAGTATAACTAGTGCTGAAATGATACACTGATGTTAAAGAGAAGACTTGTGAGACAACATTACAGTTTGATTTTGCCAAGTCGGGTAAAATTAAACTGGCCACTAAAAACAGACGCCACGAATAATACTATTTTATTGTCCTCTACTTGTAACACTCCCTTATAAATAAATAAATACATAAATAAATAGATTTAAATATTTTCACCAAGATAAAATGAGCAATCTCTCCATTCCAACAAAGAAAACAGGGCTGGAAATAGATGCTTAGCCAAACAGAAACGACCGGCCAATTCCTCTACAGTTCTGGTTTTCTGGACAGAATGAAGTGCTCTTGGATGGATCGGATTATCCTCCAGAAGCCAACACTTGAGGGTACCCACTTCTCTTTAATTCAGCTTTTTTTTTTTACAAATCTTATTCCTGGTTTGTGAGCATTTTGCAAAGGCAAAGATGTGGCTTTAAAGCCTATCAATCCAAGCCTCTTCTATTGCACTTGATGTGTAAATAGTCTTGTTAAAATCGAGTTCCTGTCAGCCTGAATTCGAGATTTGGTTCTTCTGGGTACCAATATTAGTGTGTAAATTGTGAGAACATTGACAGTTGTAAAGAGTACCTAAAACACTAATGCAACCACACACCTCACACCTCTAATTGATTTTCCATTAGTCCATGAAAACTGGGTCCCTCTCCACCTACCTAACAAGTCAAGGGTGTACCTCAGACATCGGATTGCAGTCATTTACATTCTCATACAGTTAGAGCATCCCATCTACAGTGAAGCCTGAAGTTTACATACACCTTAGCCAAATACATTTAAACTCAGTTTTTCACAATTCCTGACATTTAATCCTAGTAATTGCCCTGTTTTAGGTCAGTTAGGATCACCACTTTATTTTAAGAATGTGAAATGTCAGAATAATAGTAGAGAGAATTATTTATTTCAGCTTTTATTTCTTTCATCACATTCCCAGTGGGTCAGAAGTTTACATACACTAGTATTTGGTAGCATTGCCTTTAAATTTTTTAACTTAGGTCAAATGTTTCGGGTAGCCTTCCACAAGCTTCCCACAATAAGTTGGGTGAATTTTGACCCATTCCTAATGACAGAGCTGGTGTAACTGAGTCAGGTTTGTAGGCCACCTTGCTCGCACACGCTTTTTCAGTTCTGCCCACAAATGTTCTATAGGATTGAGGTCAGGGCTTTGTGATGGCCACTCCAATACCTTGACTTTGTTGTCCTTAAGCCATTTTGGCACAACTTTGGAAGTATGCTTGGGGTCATTGTCCATTTGGAAGACCTATTTGCGACCAAGCTTTAACTTCCTGACTGATGTCTTGAGATGTTGCTTCAATATATTCACATAATTTTCCTTCCTCATGATGCCATCTATTTTGTGAAGTGCACCAGTCCCTCCTGCAGCAAAGCACCCCCACAGCATGATGCTGCCACCCCCGTGCTTCACGGTTGGGATGGTGTTCTTCGGCTTGCAAACATCCCCCTTTTTCCTCCAAACATAACAATGGTCATTATGGCCAAACAGTTCTATTTTTGTTTCATCAGACCAGAGGACATTTCTCCAAAAAGTACGATCTTTGTCCCCATGTGCAGTTGCAAACCGTAGTCTGGCTTTTTTATGGCGGTTTTGGAGCAGTGGCTTCTTCCTTGCTGAGCAGCCTTTCAGGTTGTGTCGATATAGGACTTGTTTTACTGTGGATATAGATACTTTTGTACCTGTTTCCTCCAGCATCTTCACAAGGTCCTTTGCTGTTGTTCTGGGATTGATTAGCACTTTTCGCACCAAAGTACGTTCATCTCTAGGTGACAGAACGCGTCTCCTTCCTGAGTGGTATGACAGCTGCGTGGCCCCATGGTGTTTATACTTGCGTACTATTGTTTGTACAGATGAACGTGGTACCTTCAGGCGTTTGGTAATTGCTCCCAATGATGAAACAGACTTGTGGAGGTCTACAATCTTTTTTCTGAGGTCTTGGCTGATTTCTTTTGATTTTCCCATGATGTCAAGCAAAGAGGCACTGAGTTTGAAGGTAGGCCTTGAAATACATCCACAGGTACACCTCCAATTGACTCAAATGATGTCAATTAGCCTATCAGAAGCTTCTAAAGCCATGACATCATTTTCTGGAATTTTCCAAGCTATTTAAAGGCACAGTCAACTTAGTGTATGTAAACTTCGGACCCACTGGAATTGTGATACAGTGAATTATAAGTTAAATAATCTGTCTGTAAACAATTGTTGGAAAAATTACTTGTGTCATGCACAAAGTAGACTTGCCAAAACTATAGTTTGTTAACAAGAAATTTGTGGAGTGGTTGAAAAACGAGTTTTAATGATTCCAACCTAAGTGTATGTAAACTTCTGACTTCAACCGTCTTGAGACGGACCCTGACTGAACTCTGAGGTACAATCATAAGTCAGTGAGAGACTTAGCAGAAACCATTGGATCTCCTTGTTACATAACGCTGCACCAAAGCCTCTCTCAGATCTTACTGGGTCTGTTATTGTTTTGACTCAAGTAGGAGGCCACACGGTTTATTATCTCTCTGTGTGTGTGTGTGTGTGTGAGAGAACATATATACAGTGGGGGGGGAAAGTATTTAGTCAGCCACCAATTTTGCAAGTTCTCCCACTTAAAAAGATGAGAGAGGCCTGTAATTTTCATCATAGGTACACGTCAACTATGACAGACAAAATGAGATTTTTTTTCTCCAGAAAATCACATTGTAGGATTTTTAATGAATTTATTTGCAAATTATGGTGGAAAATAAGTATTTGGTCAATAACAAAAGTTTCTCAATACTTTGTTATATACCCTTTGTTGGCAATGACACAGGTCAAACGTTTTCTGTAAGTCTTCACAAGGTTTTCACACACTGTTGCTGGTATTTTGGCCCATTCCTCCATGCAGATCTCCTCTAGAGCAGTGATGTTTTGGGGCTGTCGCTGGGCAACACAGACTTTCAACTCCCTCCAAAGATTTTCTATGGGGTTGAGATCTGGAGACTGGCTAGGCCACTCCAGGACCTTGAAATGCTTCTTACGAAGCCACTCCTTCGTTGCCCGGGCGGTGTGTTTGGGATCATTGTCATGCTGAAAGACCCAGCCACGTTTCATCTTCAATGCCCTTGCTGATGGAAGGAGTTTTTCACTCAAAATCTCACGATACATGGCCCCATTCATTCTTTCCTTTACACGGATCAGTCGTCCTGGTCCCTTTGCAGAAAAACAGCCCCAAAGCATGATGTTTCCACCCCCATGCTTCACAGTAGGTATGGTGTTCTTTGGATGCAATTCAGCATTCTTTGTCCTCCAAACACGACGAGTTGAGTTTTTACCAAAAAGTTCTATTTTGGTTTCATCTGACCATATGACATTCTCCCAATCCTCTTCTGGATCATCCAAATGCACTCTAGCAAACTTCAGATGGGCCTGGACATGTACTTGCTTAAGCAGGGGGACACGTCTGGCACTGCAGGATTTGAGTCCCTGGCGGCGTAGTGTGTTACTGATGGTAGGCTTTTTACTTTGGTCCCAGCTCTCTGCAGATCATTCACTAGGTCCCCCCGTGTGGTTCTGGGATTTTTGCTCACCGTTCTTGTGATCATTTTGACCCCACGGGGTGAGATCTTGCGTGGAGCCCCAGATCGAGGGAGATTATCAGTGGTCTTGTATGTCTTCCATTTCCTAATAATTGCTCCCACAGTTGCTTTCTTCAAACCAAGCTGCTTACCTATTGCAGATTCAGTCTTCCCAGCCTGGTGCAGGTCTACAATTTTGTTTCTGGTGTCCTTTGACAGCTCTTTGGTCTTGGCCATAGTGGAGTTTGGAGTGTGACTGTTTGAGGTTGTGGACAGGTGTCTTTTATACTGATAACAAGTTCAAACAGGTGCCATTAATACAGGTAACGAGTGGAGGACAGAGGAGCCTCTTAAAGAAGAAGTTACAGGTCTGTGAGAGCCAGAAATCTTGCTTGTTTGTAGGTGACCAAATACTTATTTTCCACCATAATTTGCAAATAAATTCATTAAAAATCCTACAATGTGATTTTCTGGAAAGAAATGTCTCAATTTGTCTGTCATAGTTGACGTGTACCTATGATGAAAAGTACAGGCCTCTCTCATCTTTTTAAGTGGGAGAACTTGCACAATTGGTGGCTGACTAAATACTTTTTTCCCCCACTGTATGTACATACACAGCATTATATGTATATTGGGCCAGAAACCCTCGAGGACCTCATGTTCTTGTTGTGCTAATTACCTGTCCTGGGATTGGTGGGATTGTGGGTACTGGACACCAGGGGCTCCAATGGGGACTAGGGGGCTGGTGTTTCCTCCCCTCCCCTCTGTTGTTGGACAGGGGAGAAGCTGAGCAGATGTCGGCTGCTTTGTGGCGTCCCTGTGGACAGGCTGGAGCTGCTGGGCTCTGACTCCCACACACTGAGACCAGAGGGACAGGGCAGGGTCTTCAGTTACACAAGCCAGGCCAAACACGGAAAAAAGCAACATGGACTAACATACACATGTTCAAGAACATTAGAGCATTACAGACCTTAGAGCATTTCCCTTTGAGGACCGAAACATTCTGCAGTGAATCAGTCACACACAAACACAGACACAGACATACACACAGACACACACACAGACACAGACATACACACACACATGCACATACAGTGGCTAAAGCCATTACAAAGATCAAAAAAAGTTTCCAAATTGACAATTTCATGGTAGTGTTTCATTTGTTATAAATCCATAAAGGCTCTTCAAACATTTTTCTCAAAAAGTTCAAACGTTTTATCATAAAGGTCCAAATGCACACAAGCATGAAACAAGCAAGACAGATGAATACAAGAAGAAGAGTGATCTCAACAACAGGTCAGGAAGTAGAGGGTTGGTCATGGTGGCCAGACTACAGACTGAAAACCACACAGAGACTTCACCTGGCTTAGGAGAGGCATGACTTCATCCATTGTGCGTGGGATAAATCAAAGATTTGAATTTACGCTCTAGGCTAAACCATACAAACACACACACACACACACATTTTAAATACTTTATCTGAATCCACAAATCACATTACATCAAGGAAGGATTCAGTCCAGTTCTTGGATACAAGGACACTTTAGGATACAAAAAGCACCTTCTTCTCCACCAAGCTAGGCTGCCCATAACTGCTGAAACAGAGCAGTACCTTGTTCTCCACCAAGCTAGGCTGCCCATAACTGCTGAAACAGAGCAGTACCTTGTTCTCCACCAAGCTAGGCTGCCCATAACTGCTGAAACAGAGCAGTACCTTGCCAGTTGCTTGGCCTTAGTCTTAGACAGGCCTGCAATCTGAAGGCCATGTACCATAAACCTATGTATACACACACACACACAAGCATACATACCCATACACACACAGACACACATGCACACACACACGCACACACACACAGAAAAGGATAATAAACTTGTGGCCTCCTACTTGAGCCAAAACAATACGAGACCCAGTAAGATCTGACAGAAGTACTCAACACAACAATGCCCAAAAGTGGTCAAGATCTTGTGCAGTAGTATCAAATGAATACACACCCCATATAAAAAAACACACCCCTAACCAATACCTTTTTCTAAATGCCTGGAAATGTATCCAAACATCCCAGTGACAAAAGATGAACCCAGCAGGACCTTATTAATTGAAAAAACATTTGATATTGACTTGAGCTATGACTGGAAACATTAGCAAAAGTTCGCTCAGCTCCTGGCCAGGGTTTACTGAACAAATCCTTGTGAGAGGATTCAAAGGAACATGTCCAGTGATAGAATACATTTGGAGTCTATAAATAAGCATGTGTGTAGCTGATCTACAGGTTGCATTTCCGAACCGGCCGGCGTGGAAGGGAAGCAACGCTCCCATTTTCCTAGTTCTGGGATTCTGGGAAGCCTGAGCGTATGGAAAACTCAGAGAGCCCTTCTCCTCTCCCGACTCTCAGCCAACTTTCCAAAGCCTTACTCCGTGAGTAAAAAAAAGGTTTGGATGTGGCCCTTTTTCTGAGACATTGGGAGAAAACTCGTAATTTATACTGCATGTTAGTGAATTATCGGGCTCTGGACATGGCAAAGAGATGACTGACTGACTGGCTGACATAAAAAAAAACATTGACAGACAGACAGACAAAGTGCTCACCTCAGGGAACCAGTGTTGAGCACGAAGAACACCAGGACGACCATGAAGAACACCAGGACGACCATGAAGAACACCAGGACGACCATGAAGAACACCAGGACGACCATGAAGAACACCAGGACGACCATGAAGAACACCAGGACGACCATGAAGAACACCAGGACGACCATGAAGAACACCAGGACGACCATGAAGAACACCAGGACGACCATGAAGAACACCAGGACGACCATGAGACACACAGCCCGTCTCTTTGGAGCTGTCACCTTCAGCACAGTGTTCTGTGAAGAAAAGTACAGAAAGAGAAAAATAAACTGATTTTACCTGACTGGATCAGTCCAAGCTCTGAATTGGAACATATTTTCAGCAACTGTATGAAATCATCCCAGATCAGTGATTATTGCACATCAAAGAAACAAGAAATAGAAATGGAGGATGTGTTCTACAGACGTAGGATCTTAATTTCAGCCAGTTTGCTACAGCAGGAAAATAAACCTGCAGCAACAGAAAATGTGAATTATTATGTGGATTAAAAATTGACATTTTTGTAGGGGTTGATACATTTTTCGTAAGGGAAAGTGGAAATTACAAACATCAGAAGCCTTTTTAAACCTCAAATACACTACAAGTTTAAAATGTCCTGCATTGCAGGAAAGTTGTCCTGCAACAGGGTGATCAAATTAAGATCCTACATCTGTATAAGTGGGTGATCTGGTGTCTGAAGTCAGTGTATATGTGAAAGCAGTAGAATGAAACCCTCACTTAAACCTATCAATTTGTGTCAGATCAGTGATTGCTTCAGGAAGCGAGGAAGTAAGGACACATTTGGAAAGCATTCACACAGGGGCCCTGGAGTTGAAAAAAGGTGTGTCTATCCCATCTCACCTCAGTGAGCAGTCCATCCAGCTGGGTTCTGAGGGATCCGTTCTCCTGGAGCAGCCTCTGGTTCTCACACAGTGTCCCCCTGAGACGAGCCTCCAGGGCCTGCAGCACCTCCTTCCTCCTCAGTCTAGACAGCGTGGCCAACTCACGGTTCTTCACCATCCTCTGCTGCCACTGCTCCGCACACACCTGGACAGGTGGAGAGGGAGGGATTGATAAAATAATGTGACTGACATGGTCACACAGAGATTATTTTATGGGAAAGTTCAAACTTAATACATATTTCAGCATGGATGTACAAGAAAATCAAACCCATACAACCATGGTGTTGCAAATACCATGCATCAGCTGACTCCTCCTCCTCAGAACACATTAACAATTCAAAATGGATGTCCACAACACAGGAGAGCTTGAGGATGATATAATATGAGTACATTGGCCTTGGCATGCAGATGACATTGGCTGTGGGTTTACAAAACCAATCTGGTGACGCCAGTTACACCAGACATAAGCCATACCCGGCAGTAACACTTTTTGGTTGCCATCTTGTCTGCCCAGACAGAGCACCTGCAGCACGCAGCTCTAAGCTACTTGTTTGTCTAACAGCACATATACTCAGTCACTTACTCACTCAGTCACACCCAACAGGTGCAGCTGCTGCAAAAGATGGAAAAACTGACACGGAATCCTCAATTACAAGCTGATAATGACTCCAGCATGTTTCTGCAGAACAGACTTCATACTTCACATACACACTGCCTTTTTCCATGTCTGAGTGGACTGAGAGCTAGACTAGTGGTGGGATTATGTAAGGACAGCCATACATAGAGAGGGAGGGAGGGAGGGAGGGAGAAGGGGACAAGACATTTTCAGAGTGAACTGAATGACCAGAAGAGGAATGGTCTTGCAATGTTTTAGGTGATAAAATAAACAACTTTATGGGTAACAATGCACATTTAAAACAGCATCAGCTCCATCTCATTTGTAAAAAGCAGACAGCATTTGATTATGTAAATACAGACCCATATATAGAGATTTATACTAAGTCTAGACTAAGTCTCCATCCACTGGGCAAAAACTGGTTTAATCTACGTTGATTCCACATCATTTCAACACCAAAAATCAATGTGATGACATTGAATCAACATGAAAAAAAAAAAATCAACGTAAGGGAATTTCGTATTATTTTCACCCAACTTTTAACCTAAATCCAATGACATGGTGAATAATTTTTTTGATTTCACATTGAATTCACGTTAGTTGACAACTCAACCAAATGTAAATCAAAACTAAACGTTGAACTGACGTCTGTGCCGAGTGGGTATAGTTTCTCTGTGCAAACCTAAGTTTACCACATTCATAACACTGTCTAGCAGTAGCAGCTGACTAACATACATTGTGTTGTCCTCCAATGCCCTCTCTGAGACTAGTATTTATACCACTGAGCCATAGACCACAGAAGAACTCTGCTACAGCTCTTTAACTGCTTTCTCCGCTGCACCCCATTTCTGAGGCCATGCTTCGTAACATATCTAAATGCGCGGCTTTTGGAGCTATGCAAATTCAGACCACACTGTTTTATTTGGTCTCCGTAGAAACATATTTGATTTGTTTCGGGGGGGGGGGGGGGATACACGTCCTGCAAGGGGAAAGTGAAACCCTGCCTTTAAACAACCACTGTATAGTCAACAGTACAAACCTCCCCCTCCTCGACAATGGTAGACAGAGTCAGCAATCTAGCGCTTCACTGACTCTAGTGTAAACTGGGAGTCGGGGACATAGTCTGAATAAGAGGCTGAAAATTAGATTGATATGAAGCTATATGAGTCGGCGGTCTGAGTCCCTACTCTCTAGGGATGTAGATTACAGTTGTTAACTGGAGGTTAGGAGGGTTTGTTGATGTTGCACTCTGATTGGGGGTGGAGGGGAAAGTCAGCAGTTTTTGTGCAGTGGGATAACATACGGCTTGCAGAACCATCAAATGATTGTTTTACGGTAGAGAACTTGTCATTGCAATGTTTATACAGTGCCTTTGTTTACAAACACATGCATGCACACTTCTTAATCTGAGAATTGGCATCTAACTGTAAATCGCTCTGGATAAGAGCGTCTGCTAAATGACTAAAATGTAAATGTCGCTGAGAGGGATGTCTACCTGGTAGTCCTAAAGAATAGGTTTTAACAGTACCCAAAGCCATCCAGGGATTTGATTTGATCACAGGAAAAGAGCTACTGCATAGAGTAAATACCGAGATGCGAGTTTGATTGAATTGAGCGATCACGTCATCATACTGTACCCTGACTTCCTGTACATAAACTGTATTTCTTCAAAGACAGTGAATTATATTCCAAATCCAACAAAGGTCCTCAAGCCTTCTCCACCACCTTGAGCCATACAAATAATCTATCTATCTATCCCTACTGTCTGTTTGTTTTTCAGTGCAGCTAAGCCAGTGATGCTACTATAGTACATTACAACAGGGAACATGGATTCTGTCAGTGAGAGGTGAAGTCACAGGTTTGTAGTGTAAGATCTGGTGAGGTAAAAGGTTTTCATGGAAAACATCCAATAGACAATTACATTTACATTTTTGTATATATATCCAGAGGTTAGCGTTTTTCGTAATGAATCTTGTTCTGGAGGCAGCTCTGCAGAGTGGTCACTAGCTAGCACAGCCACAAAGTCATAAGATCTAATTTGAACGCTAACCTTAACCACACTGCTAAACCTAACCCTAACCTTAATTAAGACCAAAAAGCGAATATTTTTACAATATAGACAATTTTGACTTTGCAGCTGGTATATATCTAAAGGGAAATCGCTCAGTTATTCCTCCAGGACAAGACTCATGACAATAAAGGTCAACCTGCTGGACTTACAGTCAGACAGCATAATGGAGTTCTTAAAAAGAATCACTGTTCAGTAGCTGTTACCATTCTAAAACAAATGAGTCCACCAAAATTGAGAGTGGTAAAACTACATTGGTCCTACATAGATTTAGCCTCACAAGCCGCCTGATCTCGCGAGTGGTAATCAGTCTGGTATTTACGAGGCTAAAATAGATTACTGTATAGCTCTATAACCATGCCATACGGTCACGTGTGATAGAATAAGTAACAGAAAAGGACTGTGAAAGGCTGTGATAGGCTGTGAAAGGCTGTGAAAGGCTGTGATAGGCTGTGAAAGGCTATGATAGGCTGTGATAGGCTGTGAATATATCAGCGCTAAGGGGTGTTATTAGGTACGAGGCGAAGCCAGAAGCCACTGTCATGTTCTCCCAGTGATGTCCACGATCGTTTTATCTCCTCTTTGGTCTGACACAGAGAGATAAATCACCCATCATCCTATGGGCCTCCTCCTCCCTTGGGAACAGACAGATAGGACTTTCAAAAGACCCATTCAGACACTGTGCCCTGCTGAGGTTCCCACGGGGGTTAAAGGTCAAACATAATTCATTACCAGCCAGACATGCGTCCCCTGGGACGGGATGAGGAAGACTATGTCCTCTTCTTCCTGACCTGATGGTTGGTCCATCAACGTAAACAAACAGCTTCCTCACTTTCACTTTTCTCAGACCATGGTGATTTACTGAACAAGGTTATGAGAATGGAGAAGGAGATACACACACAGGTCAATGGAGCGTGTTTCGCTATTGGATGTTTAGGTTAGGTTCAATCAAAAGTCAGTGTACATACACGGGTGCACCCACACACCCACACACAAAAGCCATCATTGTCTTCTAGCAAGGCGACAAGCCATGACACAGCAAAATGCTTACCTTTCAAAGAAACTTCCTAGCACTACATTCTGGCCATCACACAGCCATGAATCTTTGCAGAGGGCTAATGCTTCTAACACAGAGACTCAAAGAAGGTCTGGAATCAAACAGAATATTTTTATTTTGGGGGGGGGGGGGGGTTTGCGCACAGCTCTTTTTGTGCAACCGTGAGTGAGATTGCCATTCCAGTTGATCTAATCTAATCTGTTGTGTTATACCATCACATGTTATACAGTGGGGAGAACAAGTATTTGATACACTGCCGATTTTGCAGGTTTTCCTACTTACAAAGCATGTAGAGGTCTGTAATTTTTATCATAGGTACACTTCAACTGTGAGAGACGGAATCTAAAACAAAAATCCAGAAAATCACATTGTATGATTTTTAAGTAATTAATTTGCATTTTATTGCATGACATAAGTATTTGATACATCAGAAAAGCAGAACTTAATATTTGGTACAGAAACCTTTGTTTGCAATTACAGAGATCATACGTTTCCTATAGGTCTTGACCAGGTTTGCACACACTGCAGCAGGGATTTTGGCCCACTCCTCCATACAGACCTTCTCCAGATCCTTCAGGTTTCGGGGCTGTCGCTGGGCAATACGGACTTTCAGCTCCCTCCAAAGATTTTCTATTGGGTTCAGGTCTGGACTGGCTAGGCCACTCCAGGACCTTGAGATGCTTCTTACGGAGCCACTCCTTAGTTGCCCTGGCTGTGTGTTTCGGATCGTTGTCATGCTGGAAGACCCAGCCACGACCCATCTTCAATGCTCTTACTGAGGGAAGGAGGTTGTTGGCCAAGATCTCGTGATACATGGCCCCATCCATCCTCCCCTCAATACGGTGCAGTCGTCCTGTCCCCTTTGCAGAAAAGCATCCCCAAAGAATGATGTTTCCACCTCCATGCTTCATGGTTGGGATGGTGTTCTTGGGGTTGTACTCATCCTTCTTCTTCCTCCAAACACGGCGAGTGGAGTTTAGACCAAAAAGCTCAATTTTTGTCTCATCAGACCACATGACCTTCTCCCATTCCTCCTCTGGATCATCCAAATGGTCATTGGCAAACTTCAGATGGGCCTGAACATGCGCTGGCTTGAGCAGGGGGACCTTGCGTGCGCTGCAGGATATTAATCCATGACGGCGTAGTGTGTTACTAATGGTTTTCTTTGAGACTGTGGTCCCAGCTCTCTTCAGGTCATTGACCAGGTCCTGCCGTGTAGTTCTGGGCTGATCCCTCACCTTCCTAATGATCATTGATGCCCCACGAGGTGAGATCATGCATGGAGCACCAGACCGAGGGTGATTGACCGTCATCTTGAACTTCTTCCATTTTCTAATAATTGCGCCAACAGTTGTTCCCTTCTCACCAAGCTGCTTGCCTATTGTCCTGTAGCCCATCCCAGCCTTGTGCAGGTCTACAATTTTATCCCTGATGTCCTTACACAGCTCTCTGGTCTTGGCCATTGTGGAGAGGTTGGAGTCTGTTTGATTGAGTGTGTGGACAGGTGTCTTTTATACAGGTAACGAGTTCAAACAGGTGCAGTTTATACAGGTAATGAGTGGAGAACAGGAGGGCTTCTTAAAGAAAAACTTACAGGTCTGTGAGAGCCGGAATTCTTACTGGTTGGTAGGTGATCAAATACTTATGTCATGCAATAAAATGCAAATTAATTACTTAAAAATCATACAATGTGATTTTCTGGATCTTTGTTTTAGATTCCGTCTCTCACAGTTGAAGTGTACCTATGATAAAAATTACAGACCTCTACATGCTTTGTAAGTAGGAAAACCTGCAAAATCGGCAGTGTATCAAATACTTGTTCTCCCCACTGTATATGACGATGGCCAACTCAGTGGCCTTGTGGTTAGAACGTCTGACCTGAGATTGGAAGGTTGGGAGTTCCATCCTCGGCTGAGTCATACCAAAGACTGTAAAAATGACACACAGTACGTCTCTGCTTGGCGCTCAACATTAAGGAGGTACATTGGGGGTACGGCCCTGCGATAGACTAGTGTCCTGTCCAGGTGGTGTACTTCTACATCAAGCTGTCTCACGGTACAGAAACAGGACTCCTGCTCCCGCGCAAGGCTACTTACTTATGGCCAGTGATGGTGTCTTGTCAATTGAGAACTTTGTTGTCTAAATCAGCAGTTCTCAATTCTCTCCTTAGAGAGAGCTAGCACACCTGATTCCATTTGTAAATTAACACCTATGGCATTTTAACCATATAATATACTGTATCTGACCAGAAAAAATAACCCTGTATGGTTCTTCAAAGGGTTCTTTGTAGAACCTTTGAGATTGACAAAAAGTTCCTGATAGAACTATTCTCCATAAAGGTTATATAAATAATCATTAAAACCCTTTTTGGTCCTTTTTCTAATAGTTATTTATAGAACCTTAGGAAAGGGTTCTTTATAGCACCATAAAGGTTCCATTTAGAACCGTATGAGCATGGTTCTTTATAGAACCTTCAAAAAAGGGTTATATCGTTACGAGCCAAATAACCCTTATTTGGCACTATATAGAACCATTTGTTTTTAGTGTGTAGCTCTTGGATATCGAGGCAGAAAAACCACATTTCACTGCAATTAATTAGAGACTAAAGTAATTACATTTTCTGAGGTTGTCTAATAGTTCAGCCAAGGTTATGATGCGGTCTGAAAATAGCACTGTCATATTGAGGAAGTAGGAAAGAATTGTGAAATTATTATTTTTTGGACTGTTTTATGTCTCTGTTGAGCTACCATATCAATATTACATTTTCATAATTTCATATTTTTCCAGTCAAGTTCTAAAAAGTATTACAGTTCTAGAATTGATTACAAGCTGTTAACAAACTGACTGAGCCAACCCAACTCTACAGCTATTACTAGGGCTACTGTTAATTAAAGAGATTTTATTGGAGAAACCTCTCCCTCAAAACAATATTGTTGGCTTATCCATTCCACTCTTCAATTTGAGAAAAGTCCAATAATAGTATTGCATGTAGCGAGTCATGAACACAGTGCTACACATGGTCCTAAACACTGATTAACCGTAATACGTTAATATTCCTTCAAGACAAGGCTAAATAAACCAGTCGCCCCAGCTGTCCTTATGTCACCTTGTTGGAATGGTTAAGTAAATTGAAGGGGCTTTCAAATCAAATCAAATCAAAATCAAATTTTATTGGTCACATGCGCCGAATACAACAGGTGCAGACATTACAGTGAAATGCTTACTTACAGCCCTTAACCAACAGTGCATTTATTTTAAACAAAAAAAGTAAGAATAAAACAACAACAAAAAAGTGTTGAGAAAAAAAAGAGCAGAAGTAAAAAATAAAGTGACAGTAGGGAGGCTATATATACAATAGAATAAAGTGACAGTAGGGAGGCTATATATACAGGGGGGTACCGTTGCATAGTCAATGTGCGGGGGCACCGGCTAGTTGAGGTAATATGTACATGTGGGTAGAGTTAAAGTGACTATGCATAAATACTTAACAGAGTAGCAGCAGCGTAAAAAGGATGGGGTGGGGGGGCAGTGCAAATAGTCCGGGTAGCCATGATTAGCTGTTCAGGAGTCTTATGGCTTGGGGGTAGAAGCTGTTGAGAAGTCTTTTGGACCTAGACTTGGCACTCCGGTACCGCTATGCAGACCTGGGTGCAACTACTATTTGAAATCTGTCAAATACTTGTACCGTTTGTTCCAGCCTGCCTGGAGTGCCAGATGGGTGGGATTTGCAGTTTTGCAACTGTTCGATTGGTCCCATTGCACCAGACAAGCTCAATCAAGCCCATTTTAAGGATTTAAAATTATTTTAAAACGTATTTGAACCCAGTGTTGGAATGGTTAAGTAGACTCAGAGGGATTTCCTACACTAACCCAGCGCTGGTTAAATAGTGGACAGAACACATGTTGGGTTATTTTGACCCAGCCAGTTGGGTTTCTTGAATAACCCAACAAGTTGGGTTGATGGGATTACCCAAGCATGGGTTAATTTAGCCATCAGTTGGGTATTTTCTACTCTCATGATGGGTTTACCTAGCAGTTGTATGTCACATGGCCTACCAGGCAAAAGTGGTCCCCAGTAATACTAACATTTACTCTACAATGACGCAACACATGCCAACAGGTAAAATCTAAACATATCTTCACTTTAGGGAACGTTTTAAGAACAAGCTGAAATATTCCAGTTGTGTTAAGAAACATCTATATGTTTTAGTTATATGTTTTACATTACGAAAAAACATTGTTCTAGATGTTTCTCTTCTCTCCTCGAAAAAGAAAGGAGAGCCTCACACTCTAGGAGCACATATGCAATAATTTAATAACCAACGTTTCGACAGACAAGCTGTCTTCATCAGGGTATAATGGCAAACACTGCGGGTCACTACATTTACATTTACATTTACGTCATTTAGCAGACGCTCTTATCCAGAGCGACTTACAGTTAGTGAGTGCATACATTCTTTTTTATACTGGCCCCCCGTGGGAATCAAACCCACAACCCTGGCGTTGCAAACGCCATGCTCTACCAACTGAGCTACATCCCACTAGTTTATATAATGTCAGAGGACACACACAGGTGTCTGTAATCATGGCGAGGTGTGGCTTGATATCATTGGTTAATTTACAGATATCAATAGAACATTAAAAAAACATAAATGGATAACATACGATCATAGATACAATTTGGCTACATAGGCCTACAAACATTTACAATGTATAGCAAAATCACAATAATCACAAGAATGGCTTCAGATCAAAGTCTACGTTGAGACCGAAGGGAGCAAGGGTCTTGAAATGAAAGATCCAGGCAGCCTCTCATTTTAACAATAAGTTGTCTCTTCTCTCCTCAACACATATTACAGTGAGGGAAAAAAGTATTTGATCCCATGCTGATTTTGTAAGTTTCCCCACTGACAAAGAAATTATCAGTCTATAATTTTAATGGTAGGTTTATTTGAACAGTGAGAGACAGAATAACAAGAAAAAATCCAGAAAAACGCATGTCAAAAATGTTATAAATTGATTTGTATTTTAATTAGGGTGTCACGATCGTCGTAAGCATCGGACTAAGGCGCAGCGTGATATGCGTACATCTTTTAATGAGTACTTACATAATAACACAAAACAACAAAACGATACGTGAAGTCCTAAGGTTAACAAACACAAACCTCTCCGGAACAAGATCCCACAAATGACAAGTGCAAAACAGGCTGCCTAAGTATGGTTCCCAATCAGAGACAACAAGCCACAGCTGCCTCTGATTGGGAACCACCCTGGCCAACATAGAAATAAACGATCTAGAAAGAAACACATAGAAAACAAAACATAGACACTACACACCCTGGCTCAACATTTAAGAGTCCCCAGAGCCAGGGCGTGACATAGGGAAATAAGTATTTGACCCCTCTGCAAAACATGACTTAGTACTTGGTGGCAAAACCCTTGTTGGCAATCACAGAGGTCAGACGTTTCTTGTAGTTGGCCACCAGTTTTGCACACATCTCAGGAGGGATTTTGTCCCACTCCTTTTTGCAGATCTTCTCCAAGGCATTAAGGTTTCGAGCCTGACGTTTGGCAACTCGAACCTTCAGCTCCCTCCACAGATTTTCTATGTTATAAATTGATTTGCATTTTAATGAGGGAAATACGATTTTGACCCCCTCTCAATCAGAAATATTTCTGGCTCCCAGGTGTCTTTTATACAGGTAATGAGTGAGATTAGGAGCACACTCTTAAAGGCTCAACATTTAAGAGTCCCCAGAGCCAGGGCGTGACAGTACCCCCCCCCCCCCCAAAGGCGCGGACTGCGACCGCGCCACACAAACTCAAGAGGGTAGGGGCTGGGTGGGCATTCCGCCTCGGAGGCGGATCCGGGCGTGACCACCACTCTCTCGCTACCCCCCCGTAGCGCCCCTGGTCTGGTCTGGCCCCGCTGGCCGGAGCTGGACTGGACACCGGTGGAGCGGATTGCTCAGGCTCCGGTGTGGAGCAGCTGACCGGTGCCTGGTGGAACAGGCACGGGCTGTGCCGGACTGACGACGCACACCACTGGCTTGGTGCGGGGAGCAGGAACAGGCCGGACCGGGCTGGCGACGCGTACCACTGGCTTGGTGCGGGGAGCAGGAACAGGCCGGACCGGGCTGGCAACGCGCACCACTGGCTTGGTGCGGGGAGCAGGAACAGGCCGGACCGGGCTGGCGACGCGCACCACAGGCTTGGTGCGGGGAGCAGGAACAGGCCGGGCCGGGCTGGCGACGCGCACCACAGGCTTGGTGCGAGGGGCAGGAACAGGCCGGGCCGGGCTGGCGACGCGCACCACAGGCTTGGTGCGAGGGGCAGGAACAGGCCGGGCCGGGCTGGCGACGTGCACCACAGGCTTGGTGCGAGGGGCAGGAACAGGCCGGACCGGGCTGGCGACACGCACCACTGGCTTGGTGCGAGGGGCAGGAACAGGCCGGGCAGGGCTGGGAACACGCACCACTAACTTAGTGCGGGGAGCAGGAACGGGTTGGGCCGTACTGGGAACACGCACCACTAACTTAGTGCGGGGAGCAGGAACGGGTTGGGCCGTACTGGGAACACGCACCACTAACTTAGTGCGGGGAGCAGGAACGGGTTGGGCCGTACTGGGAACACGCTCCACTAACTTAGTGCGGGGAGCAGGAACGGGTTGGGCCGTACTGGGAACACGCACAACTAACTTAGTGCGGGGAGCGGGAACGGGTCGGGCCGGACTGGGAACACGCACCACTAATTTATTGCAGGGAGCAGGAACGGGTTGGGCCGTACTGGGAACACGCACCACTAACTTAGTGCGGGGAGCAGGAACGGGCCTGACCGTACTGGGAACACACACCACTGGCCTTGTGCGGGAATCAGGAACGGGCCGGACCAGACTGGTGACACACACCACTTGCTTGGTGCGAGGAGCGGGACTGGGTTTCCTCATAAACCTCCGCTCCCTCTGCTGCCTACTCAGTTCCTCTCACCGTGCCTCCACACTCTCCTTCTCCCTCCTGACCAATGGCCCCCGTAAGCTGGTGGCCTCCTCTCCTAGTCCACAAACTCGCCCTGTAGATGCCTCCAGCAGCCCCGTCGTCCATGCCGTGTGCCCCCCCAAATTTTTTTATTGGGGTTGCCTCTCGCCTGTCCGACGACGGCCCGGTTGGCGCCGCTTCTCCTCTCCTGCCTGGACATCCTCCCTCATCGCCCTCCGGTAGCGGACGGCCTCCTCCTCGGTGATCTTCCCCCAACCGAGGAGGACATCCACTAGCGTTACCTCCAGCGTTTGCTCCTGGACACGCTGCTTGGTCCTTAATTGGTGGGATCTTCTGTCACGATCGTCGTAAGCAACGGACCAAGGCGCAGCGTGATATGCGTACATCTTTTAATGAGTACTTACATAATAACACAAAACAACAAAACAATACGTGAAGTCCTAAGGTTAACAAACACAAACCTCTCCGGAACAAGATCCCACAAATGACAAGTGCAAAACAGGCTGCCTAAGTATGGTTCCCAATCAGAGACAACAAGCCACAGCTGCCTCTGATTGGGAACCACCCTGGCCAACATAGAAATAAACGATCTAGAAAGAAACACATAGAAAACAAAACATAGACACTACACACCCTGGCTCAACATTTAAGAGTCCCCAGAGCCAGGGCGTGACATAGGGAAATAAGTATTTGACCCCTATGCAAAACATGACTTAGTACTTGGTGGCAAAACCCTTGTTGGCAATCACAGAGGTCAGACGTTTCTTGTAGTTGGCCACCAGGTTTGCACACATCTCAGGAGGGATTTTGTCCCACTCCTTTTTGCAGATCTTCTCCAAGGCATTAAGGTTTCGAGTCTGACGTTTGGCAACTCGAACCTTCCGCTCCCTCCACAGATTTTCTATGGGATTAAGGTCTGGAGACTGGCTAGGCCACTCCAGGACCTTAATGTGCTTCTTCTTGAGCCACTCCTTTGTTGCCTTGGCCGTGTGTTTTGGGTCATTGTCATGTTGGAATACCCATCTCACTCATTACCTGTATAAAAGACACCTGGGAGCCAGAAATATTTCTGATTGAGAGGGGGTCAAAATCGTATTTCCCTCATTAAAATGCAAATCAATTTATAACATAGAAAATCTGTGGAGGGAGCTGAAGGTTCGAGTTGCCAAACGTCAGGCTCGAAACCTTAATGCCTTGGAGAAGATCTGCAAAAAGGAGTGGGACAAAATCCCTCCTGAGATGTGTGCAAACCTGGTGGCCAACTACAAGAAACATCTGACCTCTGTGATTGCCAACAAGGGTTTTGCCACCAAGTACTAAGTCATGTTTTGCAGAGGGGTCAAATACTTATTTCCCTCATTAAAATGCAAATCCATTTATAACATTTTTGACATTCGTTTTTCTGGATTTTATTGTTGTTATTCTGTCTCTCACTGTTCAAATAAGCCTACCATTAAAATTATAGACTGATCATGTCTTTGTCAGTGGGCAAACGTACAAAATCAGCAGGGGATCAAATACTTTTTTCCCTCACTGTATAAGCTGCAAAATGTCAATGTTATAAATATTTATCTTAGCAAACACATAAGGACTCTACCCCTTAAATGTTCCATCCGTGAGACAAACTCCACCAGGTAAGTGTTACCACAGTAAAAAGCCAGGTGCTCCATTTCTGTCTGTCTGACCACTGTCAGGGCCTGTGGGTTTTAAAGCGGCTTTGCCCTCCTAACTACCAACCACCTCCACTCCTCCACTTCTCTGGGACCACCAAGCCCCCCAGGCAGTAGCCGCTTTATGACTCCCACCTCTCTCCAGATGTCTGGATGGACACTGGGCAGACCCCAGCTTGTCCTCTATTTTTTCTGAGATTGAGCACCTACGCTGACTGGGGTAAGATGTGACTTTAAGCTAGATGTTTCCCCACTGTGTGCCTTTAATGTGAATGAATAAATAATGGAATAAGACAGAACACAGTGCTGTACGGAGGTCAGATCCATTTCAAACATACCTTAGTATCCACTGCTGTGTTGTGATAGGTCATTGTCATGGGATGGGCGGGGCCAGAGACGGCAATGGTCCCCATGGTAACATGATGGGGGACAATTGGTATGGTGACCACCTGGTTGGTGACAGCGAGGAAGGCAGGGCCTGGGGAAGCGATCTGGGGTCCAATCAACTGTCTCGGCTGGAGATGCATTGTGGGAACTGCTGCTGACAAAGACCAGATACAGAGTTAAGAAAGAGGTCAACCCTTCTGTCTGTTTTAGCCTTGTCCTAGACCTGGATGTTAGCCAACTCTGAATAACTTGTAAGGCATAACAGAGCCAGAAGAGTTAGCTAAAGCACATCCAGGTCTGAGATCATCCTATGTCCCTCTGGAGACTCCTCCACTCAGAGTACATCACTGTAACATAACTGATAGAATACAGTCAGAGTACATCACTGTAACATAACTGATGGAATACAGTCAGAGTACATCACTGTAACATAACTGATGGAATACAGTCAGAGTACATCACTGTAACATAACTGATAGAATACAGTCAGAGTACATCACTGTAACATAACTGATGGAATACAGTCAGAGTACATCACTGTAACATAACTGATGGAATACAGTCAGAGTACATCACTGTAACATAACTGATGGAATACAGTCAGAGTACATCACTGTAACATAACTGATGGAATACAGTCAGAGTACATCACTGTAACATAACTGATAGAATACAGTCAGAGTAGCCAGCTTCAGCTGAGGAACAATAGCTCTTTACAATGTTCATCTCACTAATCAGTCCTGGGTTCAGATAGTATTTGTTTTCTTTCTAATCCAGACTGTAGTCTTTTTTTCTCATCCTCATCCACGATCACTAAGGATGTCAGGTCACCTGTATGGGATATTGACCCCCCATAAACTCATCAACACAACAGATCCATCCCACTCCCAGTCCAGAGTCAGACTCTCATCTAGTGCTGAGAGCCTGTCCCTCCCTCAGACCCCTTCAGCAGTCCTTCAAGGACCCATTATCAAACAATAAAGCCCTGCCACAGTCACCTTCAAAGCCCTGCCACAGTCACCTTCAAAGCCCTGCCACAGTCACCTTCAAAGCCCTGCCACAGTCACCTTCAAAGCCCTGCAACAGTCACCTTCAAAGCCCTGCCACAGTCACCTTCAAAGGCCTGGGCCTACTGGTCTAATGGAGTGTATTAGGGGCCTGCAGAGGAAAACCATGCTAATTACACTGTAATAATACAGCCCTAAGGTCCTTGTGAGGTTAAAGGCTTTTATTCTGGCTACTAATGGCTCAGAGAGAACATAAATACGGTGGCAGGTAGCCTAGCGGTTACAGCGTTAGGCCAGTAACCAAAAAGTCGCTAGTTCGAATCCCCGAGCTATCGATTTGCCCTTGAGCAAGACACTTAACCCTAATTGCTCTGGATACGAGTGTCTGCTAAATGACAAAAACTGTAAATGACTATTGTGAAATAGTGAGCATTGGAAGTGAGAAATTGTACTGATGACATCAAAGCATTTACGCAGGCAGCCCAATTCTGATATTTTTCCCAATTATCGACAAAAGAGCTGATCTGATTGGTCAAAAGACCAATTAGTGGAAAGAATTGGGCTGCCTGTGTAAACACAGCCTCAGATGGATGTACTGTATCTGTTTGATCATTGGTATTTAAATTAGAGGTTATGACAGGTGTAGTTGATATGAGTGTGCTCTGTGCTGACGTTGAAATGAAAATATACGTTTTCAAACCACAATATTTCCAAGTCTGTCCTCGAGGATCCTGCATGGCATGCACTGGTCATACACTGGACATTGTGTTACATTTGAGGTAGCCTATGCTGAGTCCCCAACAACCGGATGTTCCGAATTCAGGAGAAATGGAAAGAGAGCCTGTGACGTAACTTCCCCTTTTGGACGTTAACAAGGCAAAACTCCATCTTAACTCCTCCTCCACATTTACTGGATTGGTTGAACAGTGCAGAAGATAACCTCCCCCCAACGGTTTTTTTTTTCTTATTGTTTGTAGGGGATCTAGTTTCAGGCGTTTTTTTTGCTGCTAAGTTAGGTTACATTTGAGGAGAAGGCAGTAGCCTTCTTTGCACAGCAGACAACGTTTTGAGGACACCTAGTGGTCAATAACAACAGGTGCAGTCTTAGGAGGTACAAATGCACATACAATTTTTCATTTTCTTCACAAAATGTTGTTTCAGCTTTTAATTAAATTACAAATACAATTATGTACTTTAACAAGGCAACAGTAAACATGTCGACCCCTATGAATTATGCAAAATCTAATTTGCGGAGAATCTAATGGGCAGAGCTTATAGGTCCTTATGGGGAACTTTTCTGTAATGCAGAAATGCATATGTGTGCAAAATTACATGACAGTAGCTCAAACGGGTAAGGAGATAAGCTTGTTCAAAGTTTGGAATTCCAGATGATTACTCTTTGGCAAGACGCATCATTAACCCAAGTTTCGTGGTGTCTGAGATATTGCATGTGACTAACATAGTAAGAACGAACGGAGACAGATCCATAGACAATATGAACTTATCCACTTCTGGTAGGGGAAATAACTCACTGGTTTAAATCTCAGGAGTACTATTGGACTTTGAGGAAGCCATATAACCTGAATTACTTCAGTGAATAAGACCCACCAATATAGAGGGATATTAGTCACAAAAAAACAGTGCAGCACACTATTCAAACCCCTCCAAATAATAGTACACATACTAAATACTATTTCATTGTAAGATAACACAAGAGTAAACAGTCACATGCGGTGGAGCCTTGACCACTGAGACCACAGTCTGCAGGCCAAAGGGCTGGATGACAATGGTCCTGGTTTTGAGAAGAGGGGCCAAGGGTTGGGTGAGGGGGACAGAGGGGGGAAGTTTGGGCTGGATGGACACCCTCTGGTTTGAGTGGGCGGGTCGCTTGGCTGGTGGGAAAAACGTAAGAGAATAAGTAAGAGTGTGGTTAATACAGGGGTGAACTATGATACATCTATTCTAAACAGACACTTTCAATACTTTTTTGAAGATATCCACCATATTGTGACATCAAAGAGACGTTTTACCTCTGGGAGATGGGCTCACTCGCTTGTGTATTTTCTTTTCAGGAGACACCATAGTCAGTAAAGGTTGCATAGACACAGCATATTCCTGCTGGTACGCATATGCATGCACAAGAGAGAAGTTTGTGAGAGTAGTCAGTACTTAGCCTACTATTTACACATAGGGGGAGAGTGTTGAGTGAATTGGAATCTTACTTTCAGGGATAGTGGTGACAGTGAGGAGGTATCACTAACTGCAGATCCTGGTGATAGGGAGGAACCAGGCATTCCTACATCTGCCAACGAAACAATTGGAACTCAATTCAATTGACAAGCAGGGGCATCACATTACCGATCCTCTTTCACTTCCTGTGTGATTGACCTTACACAACACAGTTTGGGGGCCTCACAGGTGCAGCCTTCCCACGCCCAAGACAGCCACCTAATGTCTCCTGACTAGGGCAGGGATGGGCCCTTTTGTAGGCCCGCGGATCAATTCCCCCAATTTGATAAATTATTTTCCTGTATATGATTTACTGTTAATATGAATTGATATGTAATAAACTTGATGGCACAGTATGTGCGGGTAGACGCAGACAGACGCATTCCCTTGGGGGAAGGGAAACAGTACATAACTGTTATGTCTCGTGGGTTTCATAACCACATCTTTATAACAATTCAATAATGATGAGACGGGAGACAGGAATCAGTTCAACCATTTATCTAGAACGTGCTGTTCTTAACACCCCCATGATGCTCTGCGCCACAACCCCAATACACCACATCTCCTCCCCCTACATAAATTGTCCCCATTATGAACAACAGTCCTGAGAAGATGACTGTGAGCCCCTAGGTGACGACTACTGGGTCAGGGTGTCACCCAGTCAGAGTTCTGGACCACTCACGACTGACTGGTGGTTCTGTCGGTGTTGCTTTACTCAACAGTAACTGATCTGTGTGCCTTTTACAGATGACGTCCTCTGCAGTCTGGACAGTGTAGGACACAGGACCAGTCTGAGCAATGACTGTAGCAATAACCCACTTTGGTCTGTTGAGGTAGTTCCTAGCTAAGACAGTTTCTCCAGGCTGAGGCTCTGTCATTTCCTCTCAGTTCACAACGTTTGACTGGACTCTCCTGTTTACGTCGTACTGTCTCCTTTGCGTTCTGAGGTTTGAGTAGGTCGAAGCTCATGAGTAGCAATGCAGGCAAAGACTTGCGTGCAGTGTGTTCCTGTAGGATAGCAGGAAGCTGTTCAAGCATTGGTGCAGTATCCCTTGACCTTGAGACGCTTTTAAGGCATGTTTCATGGTCTGTACGAACCTCTCTGTCAGCCCGTTGGTTGATGGATGATATGGTGCGGACCTGATGAGTTCGCCATTCACCTCTAGGAACGTGGCCATTTCTTGGGACAGTAGCTGCGGTCCGTTGTCGCTAACGAGTTGGAGTGGCGATCCGAACCGTCTAAACACTTCTCCAAGCTTCTCGATGGTCTTCTCTGCACTGGTGCACTTGTGATTCCAAACGGTAGACTACAGTACCTGGAGAGCCCATTGTGTGTCACGACGGTCAGCAGCTCCTTTGACATTTCATCAACGTGCATCTGCAAATAGGCTTGGCAGAGGTCAACTTTGCTGAACTTTTGACCCCAGCTAAACCCACAAAAAGGTTGCCGATGTGTGATACTGCTCAGTGAACAACACAGGGTTAACTGTTACTTTAAAATGTATGTCTAAGTATCATATTTATTTAAAGTAGTTTTCTATAATTATCTGTTGTAAGTACTGATGTTCTTACCTTTGACCTGTTTAACTGCCAGTATTAAATGTCTGCCAGTCTTGAATGTTATGTTTAAAGTTTGACGGCAGACTGGATTTGAGGACACACTCATAATGTACAGGTAACATAAAGGTGTCTTAATAGGGCGTTGGGTCACCACGAGCCACCAGAACAGCTTCAATGTGCCTTGGCATAGATTCTACAAGTGTCTGGAACTCTACTGGAGGGATGTGACGCCATTCTTTCACGAGAAATTCCATAATTTGGTGTTTTGTTGTTGGTGGTGGGAAATCCTGTCTCAGGCACCGCTCCAGAATCTCCCATAAGTGTTCAGTTGGGTTGCGCTCTGGTGACTGAGACAGACACACACACTTTAAAGACAAAATAATGGGCAACTGGGCATTTTTATGCATGATGGGATGTTAATTGCTTAATTAACTAAGGAACCACACCTGTGTGGAAGCACCTGCTTTCAATATACTTTGTATCCCTCATTTACTCAGGTGTTTCATTTATTTATGCAGTTACCTGCATCTGTGACACTGTGTGATTCTGTAGCAGCCTATGTTGTGGCTTCCTACAAGCCTCTCAGGCTGGTGTTTACAGAACATTTGGTGCTGTGTGATTAATATATAATGGCCTTCTCAGAGAAGGCCTGTTAGACATTTTCTTTGCTTCGGCTCTGGAGGTGTTCTCCCTGAATTCTTATTATAAACCGGATAGATTTTTTTTATATATTATCAACGATTATCCCCTTTACAGTGTGGGTGTTTCCTGTATGAGATTGTAATCTATTACCAGGAAGACGGTTTCTGATGGTTGGCTACACTTAGCCTACTTTGCCTTGGCATGGGGCCAACAACTCAATGTTGTGACATGGCTGTTATAGTTAAAGTGATGCAATCCTGGTGATCTTTACCTGTGCAGCAATAGTCAGTATCTCCACTGGCAAAGGATCTCCATTGTAAGAGATTTATGTCATTCACCTGAGAAACATGCAGTCTGTTAGCTGTCACTTTCAGTCACTAAGACTGATTGTAGATTAGGCAGCTACTACTTCCAATAATTTTTGATCTAGGCTAGTAGGATAATAACACATAGCATTACATAGACGGGAAATAAGTTGTAATACCTCTTGTTGCAGTGTTGTTTCATCATGTGGTGTGAACTCAAATTCTTCAAGCAGTTCTTCTGCATCACTTAGGTTTTCAAGTTCTTTAAACAGGTTGATGTCTGTAACAATGTTGCAAGCAGGAAGAGATCAGTGAAATAATCCAAAGTATATATTCTAATACATTATGCATGTAAAATTGTTGCAAGAGATCAGTGAGTTTCCAAAGTAGCTTCAATTCATAAAAATATACAGTAAGGGGGAAAGTTGCTTAAACAAGTACTGCTGCGCTTGAGCATTAAAACTGTTGTTATATTCAATAATGTAGAGTATATTCACTGAGTGTCATTATTTCCTTACAGTCAATGAAGTTGCACGTTGTGTTTACAACACAGCTATTATTTTGTAATAAGAATCGCACTTACCCCATTCGCCATCATGATTAATGCAAATATCGGCAAAATCGGCCATATTGTAGATGACTGTCTAAATCCAACCGTAACTCTGCCATTTCTAATGTTAGAAATTGTCAAGAGTCACAACAAAGAGTGTTCACATTTCCTAGTTTGTCGTCAACTCTCCACTATAAACACCATATGTAAATAAATACACGTCCTGCTATTAGTACAGAACCCGCGATGGGACAATTACAAAACATGACAGTTCCCAGTCGGTCTCGCCTGCTCGTCATAAAGGTTATTTGAACTAGTAGCCGCACATTGAGGAAAACATCTACATGTCTGGAGATTTGCTTCTTCAAAATGCCAATGCATTATGATATTTGGGGCAGAAAATGCTAATAATAATCATTCCATTGAATAATGTGAGTAGTAGAAATACTGGTAAGACCGAGAGAAATATAGAGACAGATATTCTGAAAGAGAGATATCTATTTCTCATCAAGTTTGTGCAATCTGCTTCAATTGCATGTAATATAGAAAAATAAAAATACAATCTTGTTAGGGGCAATTCCACAGTAACACTGAGACTCAGATTTGTCACTTCAAATGTATGTTGAACAAAAAACAATGATTGCATAGTTAAATAAACCATACAACTCCATGCGAAAGGACTACTTTCAACAATTTCCCCAGAAAATTTTACAAAAACACATTTACTTGAAGATGCAAAGTTTGGTAACAGAATGATGGCACAAACCGTCATTCTGTTACCAAACTTTGCATCTGAACTGTTCTTCAAGTAAATGTGTTTTTGTAAAATGTTCAGAGGAAATGAAAAGTAGTCCTCGTGCAAAGAGTTCTATGGTTTGTTTAACTTTGCAATCATTGGTTTTTGTTTGTCATACAAGTGACAAATCTGAGTCTCAGTGTCACCGTTACCGTGGAATTGCCCTCAGGCTACTAATTTAATTAATATGCAAGTAGTAGAAATAGTCTAGGTAACCTACATAATCTATGAACCATCAACAGCAGACAGGGAAAGATGGAGACAGCTATTCTGATACATTTATTACAGATATGAATCATTTTTACATTTTCATGATTTGAGTGTGGCTATACTGATGTGTTTGATTTCATCCACTCTGTTTTTATGCATCTGGAAGGCTGGAGTCACCCATCGACCACAGGAACACTGCTCCCCACACCAGCTGAACGAGCCCAGCTTGGAGCTACACTTTGGGCACAAGAGCTGGAAAAAACAAATTTTACACTGAACAATGACTAAAACTGACTTAAACTGAACAAAATGTCTGAATATTCCATGCCAGTATTAACAAAGTATGACTATTTCATCTAAAAGCGAATTGTCATTTTTACCTGTCCATCCATCACCCCTAACAAGGCATGTTCCATCCACTGGACAGGCTCAGTGAAGTAGGAGGTACACTGGGTCTGGTCCCCACTCGGTAGGTTACTCATCTTCTTATAGGCAAACGCAGTCGGCCCATTGCCAATAGTGTGACTGAGGATACTGGAAGCGCGGAACAGCGTCCGTCTAGAGAGGAAGACAGAGGGGGTAACACCAAAGGGTGAACATGGAGAACATTTGTGTTGCTTGCTGACAGCCTTTATTTTTCACTCTCACTTCAGTCTCTGTTCAGCATCTGAAACAGTAGGGTGTGTGTATTCTTCATTCATTCATTCAGTTCCCTTACCGACACTTTTTACACCTGTATACCACTTCAGAACAGGTGCTTAGGGAAGGGTCCACTGCAAACAACTCCTTTGGGACATTCTGAAACTCTGCGTCAAGGATAAACAACAGTCTTAAGAGAGGATCTCTGCAAAACAGAGCTGGATGAACGTTTCAATTAGGTTAACAAGAGTAATGTCCCCTGGTACAGTCAAATAAACTACAGTAGTCATGGAACAGGAAGATGAAGAAAAATAAAGGTTAGCCTATTGGTTAAGAGCGTTGGGCCAGTAACCGAAAGGTCGCTGGTTCGATTCCCTGAGCCGACTAGGTGAAAAATATGCTAAATGTAAATTACAGAAATGATGAAGAGGTGAGAAAAAAATCAGGACATACCTGGGTATTTCTCTGTGAGTTTCTGGAGTCTGTACTGCTTGTACTGGGGGCTGGTGACATCTACTTCACAACCCAATGACTCATATAGTGCTAACTGGTCCATAAACCCCTCATTCATCCTAAACATTAATTAAATATGTTTTACAGTTGACCAAGACAACAGTACTTCCTTTGAGTAACAAAGTGTCCATAATAAACTTGAACAAAGCAGACCCTGCTATTGAATGGTACAATAAAATCACAGCTTTTTTGCTTACTTTACATCAGGTTTAAGTTGCTGGAGTTTGGCGTATGCATCCATCAAGTTCATTTTATGACATTTCATCAAGTAAGCAGTGACCACCGCCGCACTCCGACTTTGCCCTACGTGGCTAAAACACAAACACAGCATTGCATGTCAAATGCATGTGAGGCTATCATCATGATATGCATTAAATTGCTCAGGATTAGATAGGCCTCACTCACCAATGCACAAGGACAGATTTTGACGCCTCGCATATGAAGCGTATGCAGTCGTCAAAGTGGCTGAGTAGGTCTGTGGAGGACTCGTCCAGAGAATATACATACTTCATCCTAAATGACCCATCAGGTGAAGCTGGCTGCTCGGAGTCCACTGTGAGAATGTGGGTGATGCCAGCATTGGTCAGGTCTTGGGCATCTTTGAGGTCAGATGCTGCCCCGATGTAGACTCCTGCCTCTACCTGAATCATTGCTTGGCAATCAGGATTTCTCTAGGGTAGAAGACCTGTGAATAACACCTGTTAGCATGTGACACTGAAAAGACTGCATAGCAATACAATAATATGATATTGTGTATATTTTTACATTTTGAGTCATTTAGCAGACGCTCTTATCCAGAGCGACTAGGGTTAAGTGCCTTGCTCAAGGGCACATCGACAGATATTTCACCTAGTCGGCTCGGGGATTAGAACCAGCGACCTTTCGGTTACTGGCACAACGCTCTTAACCACTAAGCTACCTGCCGTCTATTAGCATATGTCAGTGCTATACAATAATATGATATTGTGTATGTGTAAGTCATTCATTACGTTAGCTAGCTAACTGGATTTTTTAAACTATATGCTGTACTAAATAGCTTTCTTCCTGCATATCAGAATATAACTTATATATGTATATTTTATCCACAAATTGATGAGGTATGATCTGTCCATTAATACTCTTCACTCAATGACCATTTTGACAGATACGTAGCTATAGCTAAACACAGCTTGATAGGCTAGCTAGCTAGATTAATTTACCCAACTCTGCTAAATCAGTCTCAAGTTTGTTGCCTAAATATATGTTATTCTTATCGTTACAAATATCAATTGTGCCTCTTACCAACGAAGTGTGCTATTTCAGTGAGTTGTTAAGAACTAAACAACTAGCTAGCTAGCTACTAAATTAAACTAAAACAAAATAATGCTTGAAAAACGTCCTGTGGCTTCTAAACTGTTTGGTCCGGTTATGAACTGTAACCGATCTGCGAACAAAAACGGAATACTTTAGTTCCGGAGATAGTTCCACTTTAGTTCCTACACAGCGAACGAAGTTTGAAGTTGTGTTAGCTGAGGAACGCTCAACTCCGTATATTGAAGCGGAGTTGAGTATTGAGAACTTGTCGCGCGAGAACGGAGTTTTGGCGTTCCTCAGCTAAACTGTGAACAAACGGTTTGCTGACCTCCGTCGGTTATGCAGGGGGCGGGGGCTGCAGCAGGTTACTTTTTACTTTGTGTAATGTGATTTATGTACTGCTTTGGTGGCATGACAATATAATACATTTTTGTCTTGGGAGATGGTGCACATCAGCCTGGACAGCCGCTAGTGGTCGTTATTTACCTGTCTTTTGACGGATCCACCTTGTCAAAGCAAAGGTACATAGCGACCTAACGCGGTTCTCAAGGCAGGCTGCACCTGATACTCGATTTATGTGAACTTGCCTCAGAAATATGTTTTATTCAAAATTCAACACAACTGTATTGCACATAGTCTTAAAATATGTTTCAAAAATATATAGCATTGTTTCAAAATATATTTCATTCTAATTACAGGTGCATCAGAGCTAAGACCTGCGATAAAAAAAAACGTATATTACCAGGCCATCAGACTGTTGAACAGCCATCGCTAGCCGTCTGCTTTTGTGTGAGTGTGCATCACCTGGTAATCACACACACCCCTCATACACACAGCCAACGCTGTCCCATGTTAGAGACATTGAACCACTGCTCACGTCCCGTTTCAAACTAAATACTGTATCCCTGATGTAGGTCATATTTCTACTACTGTACGTTCTATTTTAGTTACTGTTTATACAAACCTCATTTACTGGTTTCTTAACATAGTATACTGTAATATATCTACAGCTGTACATAATTCTTATTTGATCTTGTAAATTCTCACGGTGTTCATACTTACAGTGCATTTGATTACTGCAACAGTGCTATTTGGTTTTGTTCTTTGGTACCATTTTCAGAAGTTTGTGGTACACTTTCACAACTCTTAGTACAAAACTCGAAACTGGTCACACTTGTAACAGAGCCTGTCTTTCATTCAAAACATGTCATTGTGCATTCATTTGGATTGTAAACATCTCACCACAACCATTGATTCAAAATATAAGTTTGTGAAATGTAATGAGAACATTGGTTTAATCACCAAAACACAACATGATATCTTTTCAATTGAGTCATTTTAACTACCAGTTAATCCAAATAGCAAACAATGCAAGATATGCATTTCAAATCACCCTTAGAAGTGCTGAAAGTAATATGCTGCAAGTTACAGTTCTCATACACTTACATTACCCAACAATTTACCGAAAATCTATAATTTCCATATCTATCCAATGTGTAATCAAAAGGTGTGAACAAAGACATCCTCTACAATCATTCATGCCAAAAAACATTTTATTTTTCAGATATAATTGCAGTGTCTAATCAAATGTAAGAAATTAAATGAAACTAATTAATTTACCCTTTTCACCTTGACAGGCCTGTTCAATTTCATTGAGAAACAATGAGGTGTGCAGCTTTGTAGGATCCAAGTAATGGCCTCCTGCGGGGATGGGGGCTGGGATTAAAAATATAGGACAAAACACACAGCACGACAAGAGACACCACAACACTACATAAAGAGAGACCTAAGACAACATAGCATGGCAGCAACACATAACACAGCATGGTAGCAGCACAAAACATGGTACAAACATTGTTGGGCACAGACAACATCACAAAGGGCAAGAAGGTAGAGACACCAAACAAAACATCACGTGAAGCAACCACAACTGTCAGTAAGAGTGTCCATGATTGAGTCTTTGAATTAAGTGATGAAGATAAAACTGTTTGAGTGTTTTTTGCAGCTCGTTCTAGTCACACCATCTTCAGAGAGCTGCACGCATGGAGATGTTTCCCCCACGTTCACTGACTGGCCTGCTTCATCAGATATGCTTGTGATGGTTCACAGCAGCATCAAGCACCATCACCCTCTAAACAATATATTTTGGTTAGTTCTTTACAGTATAGTTCCAATATGATATTGTGAAGTAGCATGTGCATCAAATAGTAACAGTAATACAGTATATAGTGCAGTACCTGAACATACTCAGCCAGCAGTTGTTTTACCCAGTCGTTGTTTCTCTCTAAAGGCATCAGGTAAATGTGTTCCATAGATACTTGGTGCCTCTTCAAAAGGCAGGTGATTGTTGGAAGGCTGATGGATGCCACATTGGCAAAGGTGTGTTCGTTCTCCTCAATGGCCTGCTTTATTTCGGACAGCCGTATGTCATTCCTGGCCCTCACCATTTCCACCACTGCCCACTCCTGCTGGTCGGTCAGCACATGGCCACCACCACGAGGTCTTCTGTCAATTCTGAGGGAAGAACAGTATACTGTCAAAAGATCATATTGTAAGAAAGAATACTTTAACATGTTTTGTGAATTTACACACATTACAATATGTCATTTACTGTAAAAGTAATGGTAAATCATAGTGCATATCCTGCAGACTTACCGGTTTTCTTGGCAAAGTGTTCTCATGATCGAATTGACAGTTGATCTTTTCAGATTGGGGTGAACTAATGTGGCAGCCTCTGCCTTGGTAAGGCCTCTGTTTACCACATGGTCAACGACAATGGCCCGGACTTCATTAGGCACAACAGTTCCCTGCCGTCTGCCTCCCTCTGATGTTCACGTCTTTGACGGGCCCCTTGTCCACAAGCTCTTTTTTTTTTTCTTCATTTCCCTTGCTGTCTATCCTGCTCCTGTTCACCCCCCCCACCCCCTTTTATATGGGGACCAATTGTGGTTACCACTATGTGAAATCAATTAGCAATAAGGAGTATTCATTGTGTATGGTTATCATGTATCATACATGTAATTTAGATGTTTATACTTTACAAACACACATTTTATTTCTGTAGTTCTCAAAATCCATATATAGTAGACAAAGCAGTTTAAAATCTATAGTTTTACTAAACGGTTAAGTGATTAACCATTTAAGCGCAGTTGGATTAAGTGATGGTCAAACTTATTTAAACAAATGAGAAGAGAATCATATGAAAATTATTGTTTGCATTGCATTGTAAAAGGCAATTACTTTATATGAAAGGTATTTCTAGATGAAACCCTGATTAGGTTTGGTGGAAAAGTTACTGTGTGATTTTGTGTGTTGTACTTAGTCAATTGAAAATGTGCTTAAAGTTTTGAAAAAACAGCCTTTTCGATGATCTGTTTTGAGTTTTGTACTAAGAGTTGTGAAATTTTAGCACATACTTGTGGAAATAGTCCCAAAGTGATAAAAAAAAAAACTGTAATCAGATTTGTCCCACCGTTCTTGATTTCTTGTCTTATTTGTATTTTTTCCCCTTACATTTTAATTGTTTGACATTTTCCTGCATTGTAAGGAGCTAGTAACATAAGCATTTCGCTCCACCCGCTATAACACTTGCTAAACTGTGTACGCAACCAATAAACTTTTATTTGATTTCACATCTTTATTTCACTAGATGGCAGCAAATATACATTTTAAATGGATGCATGGAAATGGTGACACTCCAAATCAAATGCAATTTTGTCACATTTTTTATTTTATATAACCTTTATTTAACTAGGCAAGTCAGTTAAGAACAAATTCTTATTTACAATGACGGCCTACCCCCGGCCAAACCCGGATGACGCTGGGCCAATTGTGCACCGCCCTATGGGACTCCCAATCACGGCCGGATTGTGATACAGCCTGGAATCGAACCAGGGTCTGTAGTGACAGCTGCGGCATCCTGACATGCTTCGTAAACAACAGGTGTAGACTAACAGTGAAATGCTTAATTACGGGCCTTTCCCAACAATGCAGAGAGAAATACAGAAATAATAGAAAAATAATAACACAAGGAATAAATACACAATGAGTAACGATAACTTGGCTATATACACGGAGTACCGTGTCGATGTGCAGGGGTACGAGGTAATTGAGGTAGATATGTACATCTACTGTAGGTAGGGATAAAGTGACTAGGCAGCAGGATAGATAATAAACGGGAGCAGCAGCGTGTGTGATGAGTCAAAAGAGTTAGTGTAAAAAGGGTCAATGCAGATAGTCCGGGTAGATATTTGGTTAACTATTTAATTAACTATTTAGCAGTCTTATGGCTTGGGGGTAAAAGCTGTTCAGGGTCCTGTTGGTTCCAGACATGGTGCATCGGTACCGCTTGCTGTGCGGAAGCAGAGAGAACAGTCTATGACTTGAGTGGCTGGAGTCTTTGACCATTCTTAGGGCCTTCCTCTGACACTGCCTGGTATAGAGGTCCTGGATGGCAGGAAGCTCGGCTCCAGTGATGTACTGGGCCGTACACACTACCCTCTGTAGCGCCTTGTGGTCGGATGCCGATCAGTTGCCATACCAAGCGGTGATACAGCCAGTCAAGATGCTCTCAATGGTGCAGCTGTATAACTTTTTGAGGATCTGAGGACCCATGCCAAATCTTTTCAGCCTCCTAAGGGGGAAGAGGCATTGTCGTGCCTTCTTCATGACTGTGTTGGTGTGTGTGGACAATGATAATTCCTTAGTGATGTGGACACAGAGGAACTTGAAGCTCTTGACCCGCTCCACTACAGCTCAGTCGATGTGGATGGGAGCATGCTCGGCCCTCCATTTCCTGTAGTCCACAAAGTCTCCAAAATGTCTTGATAAGTATCAAAGATAATATTAATTTATAACCATTTGGGCCACAACATATGTATCCACAACACATGCATCAACATTTTAGTGTTTGTGAAAATTATATATGATACAGCAGTTTATTCATGTCACAGTGTTGATAGTTCATGTTTTATTGTCACAGTACAGTGAAATGCTTAAATATATTAAATATGAATTTGCTTATAAAGTACACTGCACATGCTATCATGTACTTTACTCTGAACTCAACAACACTCATTTCTTATTGATCTGTCAAGTCAGATTT